TATCTATCTATCTATCTATCTATCTATCTATCTATCTATCTATCTATCTATCTATCTATCATCTATCTATCTATCTATCTATCTATCTATCTATCTATCTATCTATCTATCTATCTAAGGTGCTAAAATGCAGCATTTCACATTGTCTCATAGAACCAAATCATCAGTATTGAACATATACATCAGAAACTTAATCAAGGGGGGGGCACTTCTGCATGATTTCTATGAAACCCCCACCCACCCGTCAAGTGTGCCTCAGGGGGTTTTATAGGAACCACTGAGAATCTCACCCATTGACTTGGCAACTGATTCATGCCCGCTTTTGCTTTCTAAACAGGGACCATTAACCAGTTCTGTGGGCATGGCCTAATTTGTGGGTGTGGCTTGGTGGTCATGTGACTGGCTGGGCATAGCTTGTATTATAAGTATTATATTATATTATAAATATTTATATAAATATTGAATTTTTTATATAAAAAAGAGCAACTTTTACCCAAAAGCAGGCAAAGCAGGCAGGCAGATTGAGTTGCTCACAGAATCACAGATTCATTCAGAGATCTATCTATCTGCCATCGGCTAGCTCAGTCTGTCACATAAAATTTGCTTGAGTCTGCTCTGAATAATAGAACCTTCAGTCCTAAGGGAGGTTCAGCTGTGCTTAAAAGCAGAGCCGAAGATCTAAAGACTAGCCAGAAAGCAAGAAATCCAAACATTTCCTGCTTCCTAGCTAATCTAAATCTCCTGGCACAGCAGAACAGCTGATGGTGGGGGGGGGGGGAGAGGCAAAATAGCAACTTAGCAGACAAGTTTGCCAGGTAAGGAGTGAGTGGGTGGGGAGGGTTCCCGCAGGCCATGTGGGCGGCATAGCCTTATGTTTCTGCACAGCCTGGATTAATTGCTATGGGGGTGACATTTCTCTGCAGCCCACCAAAATTTTCTTGTGGCCCACCGGTTGGCAACCGCTGCTGTAAAGCTCTATATAAGTCTAAATGGTATTGCTATTACACAGAATGTGCACAAAAGAAAATTCTGCTTAGTTAGTTGGAATTTACTCTCTCATGAATATATGCTAGTTCTACTCTGGGGTCATTTGTTTACCTTTACATGACCATTCAATGACGAGGTTGGGTTTTTCTTATTCTCCACTTGCATGCCATTCACGTGAATATCAACAGGAGTTAAGCCAGGAGGAGGAGATGGTGTGCTTTGACTATAATTGGGCACTCCGGATAACAAGATACTGGTTAACGTGGCTTGTGCATTGGGTGGCATCATCAGGTGAGGAATAGCAGAGAAACCTGGAAGAAAACATCACAGGTTCTGCCTCATTTCTGTTGAGATTGAAGACATCTAAAGTTCCAAGCAGATACAGGGAGTCCTCAACTTACAACCACAACTGGGAACTTCCAACACTAAGCGAGGTCATCATTACGTGAGTTACACCCGATTGTACAACCATTTTTGCTGCAGTTCAGTGAATCCCTTAGGCATTAAGCAAATCCAGATTTTCCCTCTGACTTTCTGAAACTGGCTGGGAAGGTCAAAAAATGGCGATCTTGTGATCCTGGGATGCTGCAACCGTTGTGCCAGTTGCCAAGTACCTGGAATTTGATCACCTGATTATGGCAGATGTTGCAATGGGTTGCAAGCAGTGAGGGAAGTCAACTGGCTTGCAAAGAGATGCATACATTTTGGACCTGCTTTGCAAGGGAGGAAAGCTAATATTGTTGCAATAGATTTGTCAGCTGGGGTGGGGGGATAATGTGTGTTTGGGTCTTTTATAATTTTTTTAATTCACATTTTAAAAAAATGTTTTTGTCTAGTTTTGCTTCATCTCTGTTTAATTTTTTTTGTTTTTGGATTTTGTGTTTTAATTATCGAATGAAATAAAATTGAGAGTTAAGTGTGAGGACCACTTGTAAGTCACCTTTTTCAGCATCAACAAGTAGTTGTAAGACAAGGACGGCCTGTAGTTGACTTGCAATTCAGCCGAGCAAGAGTGCAAAGAATAGGATCTGAGCAGCCCAGCATTGCCTTAAACTCCCTAGGACAGATTTTGTTTCATGAGGTCCTTGAAATGCCAAGGATTAAATTAGGATCTTCTGGAGGCAAAGCACAAACCACAATGAAATGAGCAGCTACACTCTATGCCCATCTGGGAGTCCCAAGGACTCAGATGATACCATCTTACAATCGTGGTGTCTTGAAATAGTGGCATCATTTTAATGTCCTGTTTCTGCATGCTTGGGGGGGAGTGAGGGGAAATGCAAGGATTGCTCTATTCAAAATGTCTCCAATTTAAACCCAAAATACCAACCTGTAGTGCTTGTATTAGCGATTGAGGAAGCCCAGAAAGTTGAACTTGGCGTGTTTGAACTTGGACTCTGCAAAGGACTAATCGAACTATTGAGAGCGTTTAGGAGGGAGTTTGGAGGTGTGGATGTGTTGACAGATAAAGTGGTTGGACCCAAAAGACCTATAAAAAAAACCAACAACAAGTAAAAGAGATTTTACACCCCTGTAGATGCACAACCAATGATTTTAAGGACCGATGCAAAACTGAAGGAGTGATTTTACTCTTCTTTTGGATGATGAAAACACTTAAGGAAGATCCACTCTAGAGTAGGGGGTCTCCAACCTTGGCAACTTTAAACCTGGTGGACTTCAACTCCCAGAATTCCCCAGCCAGCTGGGAGTTGAAGTCCACCAGGTTTAAAGTTGCCAAGGTTGGAGACCCCTGCTCTAAGATGGTCAAGATGCCTACTTCTCTCCTTGGATGTTGCTCCTAACAAGAAATGGGGTTTGCCTATGGATATTCTAAGTCATCTAGGCCATGGTTGTCCCAAAGGTGTTTTTTCAAGAGGCAACTGGACTTTCTTTGTTTTTGTTTGAAGACGTTTCACTTCTCATCCAAGAAGCTTCTTCGGTTCTGAACTAAAGAAGCTTCTTGGATGAGAAGTGAAATGTCTTCGGAAAAAAAACAAAGAATGCCAGTTCCCTTTTGAAAAAGCATCTTTGAGACAAGAAATGGGATTCACCCAGTCCTTCTGTTTTGTTCTTCAAAGAAGTTTAGTCAATAGTCTACCTTGGAAACAGATCATCAAGGCTTTATTCAGATAGCCCGTGGCCACTTAACTCAACAACTACATCTTAACATCTGTGACTGCAATTCTTCCTTCATTGTTCACAACCTCCCTACCTCCACAAATCCCTACTTCACATTTCCAAGTGCTTCTCTAATTCTTCTACATCCTCTCATCAGTTAAACCAGAGTCTTCAAACTTGACAGCTTTAAGACTTGTGGACTTCAACTCCCAGAATTCCTCCTCCAATCATGTTAGCTCAGGGATTCTGGGAGTTGAAGTCCACATGACTTAAACTTGCCAAGTTTGAGGATCCTTGAGTTAAACAGATGTTTTCCTTTCAGTATGCTAAGGTAATGAAGATTTAATAGCTGACCAGCTGCTGTAAGGCTGTAAGCCAAGATGATGAACTGAAGATGAGTCAGAAGGATACTGCCGCTTTAAGAAGCTGTCTATATAAGGGAGGCCATGTGAAGGCATCTTTTTCTTCTCGCGTTCTATCTCCATTGTAGTTCTCCACATAGAGTTGAAGATTGATTGCCTGCCTGGTATTTGCCTAACACATGTATATATGTATATAGCAGCCTTGTATATAAACCACTGTTAAAAGACAAGGCCTCTGTGTTCTGTGTTTTGCTCCTGGGTTGTCTCACAATAGTAGCTGTAAACACTCTGATGCAGTATTGTTTTTTCTTGAGTACAAGGGGGAAAACACACACATATCAACATAATTTTACATGTCAAAGCTGTTATTCTACCTACTTTTCAAATAAATCCATAAACCAGGGATGCCCAACCTTGGCCACTTCAAGACCTGTGGGCTTCGACTCCCAGAATTCCCCAGCCAGCCACGAATTCAACTCTGGGAGTTGAAATCCTCACGTTTTAAAGTCGCCAAGGTTGAACATCCCTGTCTTAAACCTTGAAAGCTCATTCTGAAGAGGTCTGAAAATATGAGGTTGTAGATCATACCAAGTCCAGTTAGTCCAAGGCCAGCTGAGGTCAAGATGTCCAAGGCAGGACAAGGAAGGCCAACTGGGCAAGAGATGGGGCAGGGATTTGTTGCTACGGCAATACCGCTGCTTTCCAGACCCAGGAGACATTTCCGTGCTTCATACATGTTTAAGGCATTTCGTTCAACGCTTTTCACGATCACAGACTGAGGAAAGAAAACACGGGGTATGAATTTCTGACACACATTTCAAACAATTCCAGACAATTGACAAGAGTCACCAGTCTTGTTTACAAATCCTCTCTTGAAGGAAGCTCCCCCTAGTAGCAACAGAAAGTGTGTAGTTGTGGCTCCTAAAGTACATATTTTGATTTATACAAAAAAATCTGGAATGGTAGGGTGCACTTTGGTCGGGATTTTTGGCTGCAATATACAGTCATTGAAACAATATCCCTGTTCTGTAATATTTCAGAAGAGGAAATAAATGAGGCTTTGTATAAAGGTCCATTCAACATTTCAGCCTTGTTTAGAATCACACCACCCAACAATATCCGATCACTGATATGAATGTAGTTATCTCTGCTTTAGGCAGCCAAACTTTAAGCTCAAGATTCCTGTCCTTGTGGAGAACTTTGTGGGAAATTACGGAGAGTTTGCTAATTTATTACATCACAGTGCTTTCCAAGTCAAATAAAAATATCAGACCATAACGTTTCCCCCCGCCCCCCAACATATAGGTCTAGAGAAACTGGATTTCTCATTTTCTAGAACTCTGAGGCTTCTCACCACATTTAACCAACTTTCCTTCACAAATAAGTCACCACAATAATTGTGACAATGAAAAAGCATGTTTTGATGTAGAACGATAAGAACTGGTTTGGTTCATCTTGACAAAACAATGGCTGCTTTATTTAAATCTGCCTCTTGGTTTGTTATCTGCCTCTTTCAAGTTGTCAGAGGAGTCTTTCCTTGTTGTGTACATCAGCCTAAGAAGATCAGGGCTGAGAAGAACTTTGAAAAAAAAACATCTGGCCAGATTTTATTCCCTGCTTGTGTTTCTCTTAGCTTTAAAATTACATAATAGTGAGATACTGGCTACATCCCTGTTTTTCTTGGAAGCTTCAGTCCAACACTGAAGATAAACTTTGTTGTTCTTTTGTAGGAATTAACTTGATATTAAAAATATAATCTGATGATGTCATTTCAAAGACATCGTTTACTAATTAATAAAGATCTTTTTTTTATTTACCTTAGCTATTACACTGTGGTAATTAGATAAGCTTGTTTCTGTTAAATAACACAGACACCAAGACCACAGAAAGGAAACTTAACAGTGTGAAAATCATTACATAATATACTTAATTTCACATGACAGTGAAATAATGTTTAGGATCATCCAACACAAATTAGAGCCCAGATGTTCAAGATAGTTTTAGGAAAGGCCAAGGAACAAGGCATATTATTGCTGATGTGTGCTGACCTATTTAGAAAACCAAATAATACCCAAAATAAGTCAATACGTGCTTCACTGACAATAGAAAGCTCTTTGATAAGTGTCAATCATGTTAAACTCTCAAGGGTCCTTAGGAAAATTGGAAACATAGAGCATCTCATTATCTTCATATAAAACAACACAAAGAAGAGTAAGCAAGTGGAAAAGAAGTGAGACAGGGCTGTATATTCTCCCCTTTCAACGTAAATACTAAACGAGCGCTGGATTCATAACAACTCGGTTCTAAAACAGAATTCTCATTATAATAACTCTATTGTTACAATGACCAGAAGGTTAAAAAAAGGTAGAAGTTTCCTCTGTTCAGTTGTGTCCAACACAAGGGGCCAATATTCATCTCTGTTTCTTAGACAAGGTAGCCAGCCATTCTCTTAAGACACCTCTCTGGTCCTGTGGCCAACCAGACTATACACCGAGGTGCACAGAAAGCTGCTGCTTTCCCGCTGAAGTGTACCTATTTATCTACCTGCATTTGCATGCTATCGGACTGCTAGGTGGGCAGGAGCTGGGGCAGGAATGGAAGCTCACCCCGTTGCACGGTGCTTGGGTCTTGAACCTGGGCTGCCAGCTTTCCAGCCGACAACCTCAGCGTCTTTAACTGCTGCGCCATCCTGCTCCAATGACCAGAAGGGGGCTGGCTTAACTTTCAAGCAGGATAGTTAAAAGCTAAACATAGCCTTGTCCAGAAAAACTAGAGTCCGTTCTACTCACCTTACTCGTCTGTTTTGGCTTTGGTTTAATACTGATGAAGACATCTAGCTGCTCCATCAGCTGTGTAATAAAATGTGGTTCTACGTCGATTTCTTCCTTCATATCAAACATCAGCACAAGAGGAAGGCAGCCCTGGAAAATTAAATGCAAAATCCAATATGAAGTTCAGGAAGCCCTTCATTGTTTTGTGCAGCACACAGTTGAATAATGATCTCCTGTTCATCATTCCCAGCATAAACACACACCCCTTCTCCTATGTTTTACTCACATGATCCTTCTAACAAGAGGTTTTTAGACTCTAGAAACACCCGTTGTTTGACATTTCCATACTGACAAGAGTATATTTCTCAGGATGTTTGAATTCCCAGCAGTTCAAAAATATGGGAGATGCACAATGCCTGATGACATCTGGATAGGGTCTACTATACAACCAAGAACTTACAACTTCAGCTTTTGCTTAAGTGAGCCCCAACAGTTTTGAAATGGAGGGTTAACTAAAACTTCTAAAGATCCTCTTTGAAACCAAGAGTCGTGCAGATCTATTGGGAATAAATGTTCTGATCCTTTCTGCAATAGGAAAACACACACACACACACACACACACACACACACACACAAACTCTTATGAACTAATTATTTGCATGCAGGCCTATTATGATCATGCAGTAGACTGCCTGGTCAACTTGCAAGACATGGAAAAATCCAATAATGAATATGTGAGAACCAGAAAGGCAAGACAATTTGGCACTGGAAACAGAAACAAGCATGCAAAACACATAAAAACAAAAAATATGTAGCGAATCCAGCCCACTACACCTGATGAGATGAAAAATGTTATAACTTTCAACAATCAAAGCCATATTGTTCCTAAATTTGCAATTTGTATCATTTCATTTCATTGCCATCTGGACCAATCAAGAACAGTTCTAATTCAACTGAGAATTGTTCAAATGTTTTGAAGAGGAATGTTCTGCCTTGCCCTTTAGTCTTAATGTTTTAACAGAATAGCCGAGTTGGAAGGGACCTTGGTAGTCTTCTAGTCTACATCCAACTCTTTCTGTTGATGCTCGTGTTCTTTTTTGCCTCTTTCATTCTACAAGGAATTCCTCTGGATACGCTCCAGTTCTGTATGCCTTAAATGTGGAACGGCATATAGCAATAGCACTTAGAGTCATATACCGCTTCACAGTGCTTTACAGCCCTCTCTAAGTGGTTTACAGAGTCAGCCTATTGCCCCCAACAATTTGGGTCCTTATTTTACCCACCTCAGAAGAATGGAAGGCTGAGTCAACCTTGAGCCTGGTGGGATTCGAACTGCCAAATTGTAGGCAGCTGGCTGCAGCAGAAGTAGCTTGTAGTACTGCACTCTAACCACTGCGCCACAGAGGCTCCTTATGCTAGGTTTGAATATTAAAATACTACAGAACAGATAAAAAAGAGAGCGAGGTCTTACCATCCCATAAAATGCTTGCTCCCTGGCTGCATTGAAAGAAACAACGGCAGTGTTAGTGACTATCCAAGGCATGCACAAGCCACAAGTTTATGTGATTCTATCTAGCGAACGCTTGTGGCTACTCTCTTTGGATTATGGGATTGCAACTTTCAACAGCTTCTTTGCATTTTGCAAGTTTCAAATTCCAAAACCCCACAAGACAACTTCAGACTCAAAGGAAATTCTGGACTGGATTCAGTCAGACTTCACTTGTTTGAGGCCCAGGAATTTTCAAATAACAGAGTTGGAAGGGACCTTGTAGCTCTTCTAGTCCAAGCCCCTGCCCAAGCAGGAGACCCTACACCATTTCAGACAAATGGATGTTCAGATTCTTCCTCTTCCATTGCTTCTTCTCTTGCCTTCTGTTGGCTTTGGAAAATCGTACCAGCTAACTGACTAACCATTCTTGAGATGGGTAATTGAAATATCTGCCTCATCAGAGTTACGAAAAGCAGGTTTAATGCCCCTGATTTCAGAGGGAGGCACAGAATCCTTTAATGGGATTCCATACATTGCAATTCCCAGTTGCAATGTATGGCTGTGAAAGTTGGGCCATAAGGAAGGCTGAGTGCCGAAGAATTGAGGCCTTTGAACCGTGGTGCTGGAGAAGACTCCTGCGAGTCCCTTGGACTGCAAGGTGACCAAACTGGTCAGTCCCAAAGGAAATCAACCCTGACTGCTCTTTAGAAGGCCAGATCCTGAAGATGAAACTCAAAGACTTTGGCCACCTCATGAGAAGGAAGGAAGGACTCACTGGAGAAGAGCCTCATGCTGGGAACAATTGAGGGCAATAGAAGAAGGAGACAGCAGAGAAGGAGGTGACTGGATGGAGTCACTGAAGCAGTTGCCATGAGCTTAAATGGACTCCAGAAGATGATAGAGGACAATTGAGATCAAGTGAGGTACTAATACTTCTCTATAAAGCCTTAGTAAGACCACACCTAGAGTACTGCATCCAATTTTGGTCACCACATTATAAAAAAGATGTTGACACTCTAGAAAAAGTACAGAGAAGAGCAACCAGGATGATCAGGGGATTGGAGACTAAAATATATGAAGAACAGTTAACAGATAATCAGAGTTGGAAGGGACCTTATAGGTCGTCTAGTCCAACCCCCCCCCCCGCCCAAGCAGGAGACCCTACAGTCCAGTCCAGGAGGCAGTCCAGTCTCTTCTTGAAGGTCTCAAGTGACAGGAACTGGGCATGGCTAGTCTAGTAAAGAGAAGGACCAGGGGAGACATGATAGCAGCCTTCCAATATTTGAGAGGAAGGAGTCAAGCTATTTTCTAAAGTGCCTGTAGGCCACACAAGGAATAATGGATGGAAATTGAACAAGGAGAGATTTAACCTGGAAATAAGGAGAAACTTTCTGACAGTGAGAACAATCAACCAATGGAACACCTTGCCTTCGGGAGTTGTGGGAGCGCCATCACTTGAGTCTTTCAAGAAGAGATTGAACTGCCATTTGTCAGAAATGGTGTCAGAAATGGGCGGGGGTTTGGACTAGATGACCTACAAGGTCCCTTCCAACTCTGATTATCTGTCATCTGTTATCTGACAGGAAGGCCTGGAGGAACATTGTCCATGGGGTCACAATGGGTTGGACACGACTTCGCAACTAACAACAACAATAACAACATGATCACGTTTTCCTAAACCATGGAAACTACGTTAAGTCTTAACACTAACAGGCTATCTGTATGGGTAGCTAAGAGCTAGTACATCCCGAGGTAACTAACCTAGGTTTGGACTCTTGAGCCTGGCTCCTACTCCAAGGGGAGAAAAATATAATTTGTGATGTGGGTAAGGGAGTTTCAGCCAAGCAAGACTTTCTGGGTAATTTTTTCTTCCATAAAAGAGATTATGCAATTACTGGTACAGGTAGTCCTTGACTTTCAACAGTTCATTTAATGACCGTTCAAAGTTACCACAGCACTGAAAAGACTGACTTATGACTGTTTTTTCAGACTTAGAACCACTGCATCATCCTCGTGGTCACATGATCAAAATTCAGATGCTTGGCAACTGACTTGTATTTATGATGGTTGCAGTGTCCAAGGGACTGTGTGATCCACTTTTGTGACCTTCTGAGAAGCAAAGTCGATGAGGAAGCCAGATTCACATGTCAACAACTGCTGTGATGACCCAAAGGGGCGTGGCACAAAGACAACACAGTCAGATAATCAATAAGAGTCCCTTTATTAGCTCCAACTTGGCCCCCAATGTCCTGGTTACTTTCTGGCTGGAGAAAAACTCTCCCAGGAACAGCCTTGGGCTGCAGAGAATCAAGTCCAAAACATGGTCAGCACAAACTGTAACTATAAATCCAATCAAGCCAAATGGAGGTAATTAGTTTGGCAGGGCAGGAGAAGGAATTCCAGACACGAAGGCGCGGCAATAACTCAACATGGTTGGAAAGACGCCAGGAACCCAGATAAGCAAAGACAACACAGAATAAAGTCACGTTTGCTCCCAGCAGCTGCCTCAGTCAGCATTCAGTTCTTTTAAACTTTCATTCCCAGCTGTGGCTAATGAAGAGAATCAGGGCCCTTTCCTCTTCCATAAGCCACGCAACCCACGTTGCTCCCTTCTCCGTTTCTCCCTTTGAGCCCTAGGATGAAGAGGGGGTGGGCCTCCTCCCTCTCGCTTGTTCTACCTCTCCCCAGCTCTGCCCAGCTGGACTTTGTCCTTCCCCAGTTTCTTCCACAGCCAACAGAGCCACACTCCCATTCCCTGTCAGCTGCTCGTCTTCCTCCTTGGATTCAGAGTCTGACAGGGGCATGACAACTGCAGCCATTCGCTTAACAATTGTGGCAAGAAAAATGGCAAAAGGAGGCAACATTCACTTTAACAAACGTCTCACATAGCGACAGAAAGTTCTGTTACATCTGTGGTCGTAAGTCGAGGACTACCGGGAATCCCATGTGAAGTAAATGGTGACTGAAAACTCCAGTTCCTACCCCTGTCTGCTGCCCCACACGCCCAGCCCCGTCCTTCAGGATTCTTACCATGAGATATTGTCTGGCAAGACAGACTGACTCGATTGTGCCTTGGAGGTAGACAGTGGATTTCTTCTGGGGATTACTAGGATCAGGGAAATGGATCTGAGCACCGGTTCTCTGCATGATATGCTTGATGTTGCTGCCATTTCGGCCCATCATAAAGAGGTGGTGCTGAGCTGCTATGTCTAGCTGGGTGCTCACCGGGATGGCGGAGGCTAAACTGCCGGCCAGGTGCTCTAAGAGCAGAGCTGTTCCTTCCTGTCCAGGAAGAGAAAACAAAACAAGGTTAGATTCACTGTAGAATAGCAATAGACTTATATACTGCTTTACGGTGCTTTTACAGCCCTCTCTAAGCGGTTTACAGAGTCAGTGTCAGTTTTGGAAGACATATGGAGATCTGATGCTCCCACGCTGCCACATCTGAGCCTGGGAAAATGGGAGGGGGGAATCTGATATTAACACAGTTGAAAAAGCCCAGAAATATTTCACAAGAAGAGTTCTCCACTCCTCTACTCATTGCAGAATACCTTATGCCACCAGACTCGAAATTCTAGACCTAGAAAACCTAGAACTATGCCGCCTTCAGTCCGATCTAAGTATAGCATATAAAATCATACATTGCAATGTCCTACCTGTCAATGAATACTTCAGCTTCAACCATAACAATACAAGAGCACACAATAGATACAAACCCAAGGTTAACTGCCCCAAACTTGACTGCAAAAAATACGACTTCAACAACAGAGTGATCAATGTCTGGAATACTCTACCTGACTCTGTGGTTTCTTCCCCAAACCCCAAAAACTTTAACCTTAGACTATCTACTATTGACCTCACCCCTTTCCTAAGCGGTCTGTAGGGGTGTGCACAAGTGCACCAAAGTGCTACTGTCCCTGTCCTATTGTTTCTTTTATTTTTCTTATATGTATCCATGTATTCATAACTATGTTTATCCTTATACCTGTTATCTTGTAAGCGATTGACAAATCAAATCAAATCAAATCAATCAATCAATAAATAATATCAGAGTATATCTAGTTAGACATAATAACATTCTTTTTCTGATTCAAGGTCAGGTTGTGTTGTGCATAAGTGAGAAGAAGTCTTAACTTGGGACGGATGGTGATTGGGGCATGTAATGGGTGCAGGGGATGGATTGTGTAGTTTTTACTTATTGTAAGGAAGCCCGGAACTTTCAGATTCGGGATTCCACAGTTGTGCCAGTTACTATCCAAATAAAAGGAACTTTTGAGAGATGTCTGCCTCGGAGTTATGGGGTGGAATGGAGGTTTGCTGGACTGCTGACATTCAGTCTCTTGCCCCCAACAATCTGGGTCCTCATTTTACCCACCTCGGAAGGATGGAAGGCTGAGTTCAGCTGATGAGATTTGAACTGCCAAATTGCAGGCAGCTGGCGGTCAGCACAAGTAGCCTGCAGTACTGCACTCTGACCATGGGGCCACCGTGGCTCATATCTCGGTGCCCTTCAAAAGGGTGGAAATCACCTTTCTTCCTGACATGAAACTTTGAAGTTTCCCCATTTGGCAAAGTTTCGCGCTTAAAATTATCTGAAAGAAATGGCAACTGGATTTTCTTCTTGTTATTGTTGTTTTCCCTTTTGAAATCGTTTTGTTTTTCATCCAAGAAGGAACTTCTTCTGAAGAAGCTTCCTGGATGAGAAGCGAAACCATTTCACAGGGGGGGGGGAAAAAAAACCTCCCAGGAAAGTCCAGTTGCATTTTGGAAAAAGCACTTAGGGGACAACCATGACCTGGATGATTGAGAATCTCCACGGACATTGGAAACAAAATGCTTTGCTCATTCCAGTAGGCTTCATATCCTGTTTCTAGGAAATTATGCTATAAGAACAAACTCTGGTAAATCACCAGATAAACACCCAAGTAGCTTGTAAGGAAAGATGATTTATTTATGCGTGGAAGCAAACAGAACCTTAAAAAATGGATATCTTCATCATCATCATCATTATGATTTATGCAAGGCAGCAGACAGAACCTTGCTTTAGATAAAACGGATGGCACAACCTCCTTCGGCAAACATTGTGTGTGTTTTTTGCCCATTTAGTTGTAAGCGGGGCCGCCTTGAAATCTGAACACAGCAGTGGTGGGATTCCATCGGTTTGGCCCGGTTCTGCCGAGCCGGTAGCAGCGATGAACCAGTTGTCTCCACTGCACTGCTGTTGGGCCCACCCAGGCTCCCAGGCTCACCTTCGTTCCCTGCTTTCGAAGCGCAGCTGCTTTGCGCGGCACAGAAGAGTGCTGCACGGCGGCGGCTGAAGCGACTGGGATCGTGCAGGCTTGCAGGAGGTTAGTTGGAATGCCTCTGCACCTGCGCAAAGTGTGTGTTTGGCGTGTGCACACACGCGAAGCGCACCCACCAAGCCACGCCCACTGAACTGGTAGTAAAAGTTTTTGAATCCCACCACTGGAACACAGGTATGTGGTCTAAAGGCAACTCTGATTTCTACTTGCAGTCTCCAATTGCAATTTATATTATGCATGAACTAGGCCTCTCTGGATCTATATTCTCCTCCCCTCTTGCCCAGAAGAAGCCTGAAGCTTCTGCAAGCTCCATTTAGTAGCCACCCACTCCAGAAAAAGTACCCTATCAAACAGTTCCCTAAAAACCATTAAGCTCAGAACAATAATAGCTCACCTTCACGGCACTCGTGTTATTCTGGGAGCCTCTGATCATGACCGTAGCACCATATGTCCGAGAACGCTGCTTGAAGGACACTGAAATATTGTATGTCTGTGATAGATGCTGAATCGTGGGAGAACTTGGGTCGGGGATGGGTTGAAGGATTCCAGCTATAGGTAATTCAAACATCAACACCAAGGGCAGCAGTTCCTGAAACAGCAACCAAAACAAATCCACAGCAAATAATCAGTATAGACACGGTCAAACGGTCAGCAGTTCAGCTGTTCGAATCCCTAGCACCACATAATGGAGTGAGCTACCATTTCTTGTCCCTAACCTAGCATTTCGAAAGCATGTAAAAATGCAAGTAGAAAAATAGGGACCACTTTGGTGGGAAGAGAACAGCATTACGTGCACCTTTTGGCGTTTAGTCATGCCGGCCATATGACCATGGAGACGTCTTCGGACAGCGCTGGCTCTTCAGCTTTGTAACGGAGATGAGCAGCACCCCCTAGAGCCAGAAACGCCTAGCATGTATGTGCGAGGGGAACCTTTACCTTTTACCTTTATCTACTCTGCTAATATGCGGCCTATTTCAGCACAGAGCTGGGAGGGCTTCGGGACAGACCCCCGCTCCGCACAGCCATTGCATCATATCATTATTAAAAATGGGGAAGTCTTTGTTGCCAATTAAGGATTCTGCTCCTCATTTGGCACTGATGGATCTTCAGAAGTTGGAGCAGAGAAGAAGAAAGACCGGGAACTATTTCAATTTTGCATTTCATGCGATGCATCCCCAGTGGTCCCCAATGAAAAATATATTTAAATACAATATAAAAGAGAAGGAGGAAAAACTCAGCAGAGCCGCTAGATAGAATAGCAGAAGAAATATATAGGAGTGGCCCTAATGAGTTTGGCAGTCTTGGGCTTCACGCCCAGGCAGCAACGAGGCATGGAAGAGGGAGCTTCAGAGAAATCCAAGGACTGCAGAAAGTGAGATTGACTGATGAAAGCAGGAAGCCAAAACCAACGGTTTTCAGCAAGCGATTCAGCTCAGAGGAAGCAACAATGAAAATATTTGCAAGCTTGTAGAATTCCCCATTTTTAATAGCCTATAAGAAGTAAAGCCTGCTCCTTCCAACCCAGGCATCTCCGTTGAACTTCCTTAATGGGCTACCTGGTTCCCCCTCGACTTGCCTGTCTGTCTGTCCTTGGCTTCGGTCATGACTCAAATGCTGTTTTTCCTTGACTGATGAAAAACTAACTCTCCAGGGCCAAGATCGGGAGGGCAGGGGCTGAGACTCAAACTACAGGCTTTGCTTCGATGGGCAGAGCATTTCAGACAATGGGGCTGCCCCCTGTCAGAAGAATAATTTCGGGTTCCAACTCAAGCCAGGGTTGTGCAAGAATAAAGAAAAAAATGAGATCCAGATAGCTGTGAGGAAAGAAGAAATATTTATTCCTAAAAGCAAGGAGTTTGCCTTTAGGGGAAGCCACAGAGAAATGGGGTACAGCAACAGAATTTTATAGGGGAGCTTATCCTAGTGTAGACATGTGATGATTCTAGGGTGACACTTCAGCGCTGTGTATGTGTGTGTGTTTGTGTTTGTGTTTATTCTTATGAACATGAAGTTCTGCTGAAAGACCTACATTTAATGAACTCTATTTGTGTTTACAGACAGATAACAGATAATCAAAGTTGGAAGGGACCTTGTAGGTCATCTAGTCCAACCCCCCCCCCCCCCCCCAAGCAGGAGACTCTACACCATTTCTGGCAAATGGCAGTCCAATCTCTTCTTGAAAGTCTCAAGTGGTGGCGCTCCCACAACTTCCGAGGGCAACTTCTGTTCCATGGATTGATTGTTCTCACTGTCAGAAAGTTTCTCCTTATTTCCAGGTTGAATCTCTCCTTGTTCAGTTTCCACCCATTATTCCTTGTCTGGCCTTCGGGTGCCTTGGAAAATAGCTTGACCCCCTTCTCTCTGTGGCAGCTGCTCAAATATCCTTCTCTTCACTAGACTAAGCCCAGTTCCTGCAACCGTTCTTCATATGTTTTAGTCTCCAGTCCCCTAATCATCCTGGTTGCTCTTCTCTGCACTTTTTCTAGAGTCTCAACATCTTTTTGGTAGTGTGGTGACCAAAACGGAATACAGTACTCTAGGTGTGGTCTTACTAAGGCTTTACAGAGTGGTATTAGTACCTCACTTGATCTCGATTGTATCCCTCTGTTAATGCAACTTAGGATTGCATTAGCTTTTTTAACTGCTGCTGCACACTGCTGGCTCATATTTAGCTGGTCAACATGTTAATTCTCAGACCTGGATTCTTAGCAACATGGAAAGCTCTACAGGGGTGAGACCTATTGAGTTGGCATTAAGGGGCAGAAATCCTGAATAGGAAACACAGTGGCATCTATAGCAGAGGTCTCCAAATTTGGCAACTTTAAGACTTGTGGACTTCAACTCCCAGAATTCTCCAGCCAGCAATTCTGGGACTTAGTCTTAAAGTTGCCAAGTTTGGGGACTCCTGGTCTATAAAGACACGGGAAGTGATAAGAAGTGTCTATAGAAATACTTCGTTCTTCTATGCTGTGACTTAAGGTATCCCCTCTCCCGAGTGCAAAAAATGCAAACAGAGCTTGACAGTCTGCTTCCCTTGACATGCAACTGGAATGGAAGTTAGGAGAACAATAACTAAAGTTGCAGCTCCAGGTAGGCTAAATTCCCTGGAGCTGCAAATTTTGCAGAACACATAATGGATCTGGAGGAATCCCAACTTTTTAAAGTAATGTTCACTTGTGCCGGCATTTCATAATTACCCGTATTCTAACTCTGGCAGATTCCACTCCGGCTGGCTGCCCTGCAATAGACACCTGTGGAAATGCAAGGACCAAAAGTTAAATTCTAATAATAGTAGGAACAGATAGAATAGACTGAACCCTTGACAGTATATCAATGCATTCTTGGAATTCTAGTTTCTTACTCTCAAAGTCCCCCCCTTCCATGGGAGCAGAGAATAAAGAGAAAGGGAAGATGGCAGACACATTCACAAAAGACTTAAGCCTACTGCATCTCAGTTGGGCACAAAAAGCAAACATTATCTGAATATCTGGGCCTTGTTCGTAAGCCCTGCCTACACGCACCTTGAGAAGTTGTGGCCCCTTGAGCACTTCAACTTTGCCCTAGCATTTAAAAATGTTATGGTAATTAAAAACAAGCTTTGAGGTTATTTTCTCTGCACAAATATACAGGAAACAGAGTTTCTTAGGACTTAGTAGGTTCATCAGAGAGAGGAATTATCTGAGAGATAAAACTGTGCAACCCAAATCATCCTCATTTATTACACGTTTTGATGGACGTGGCATTACTGACGCTCACAGAGTTATTGTGCACAGAATGACAAGGGGGGGGGTGTTGTGTTGAAGCAAGGACAAAATAAAGCCAGTGATTTGACAAAACCACACAACGAAACACAATTTGGTTTCAACAACCTTTAAAAAGTATACTGCTGTGTCCTGCTTAAAGAATTAGGCGTGATGCAAAATTGACAACTTACTTGACAAAAAATACACCCAGAATAAGCATCTGGTGCTCCTTAAGGCTGAATTTCAATAAGAAAACCGCCAAAAGATGCTTTTTCTGGAAAAGAGCTTTTCTTAGGAAAAGCATGCAATTTTGCACATATATAATGCCTCTTGCTCTGCTTCCTCCTCCACCAAACACAAAAGAAACGCAAAGTGTGAAAGCAATACCCTCTTAAGAGATGTGGGCTAAATGCTTTTCCACAAAAAGTCCTCGGAGACAATTCCAACTTCATCAGAGTTGGTCTCGGGTTCAAGAGAAACTCAGAGAGTTACCTACTTGATTGCTTTTTTCCGCTTGGTTATTTCGATTAGAATCTGGAAAATGGATGTGGCAGCCTGTTTCTTCCATCACTTTTTTAATATTATTCCCTCCTTTGCCAATGACGTGAGAATGCTCAGTATGGGATACGTCCATCTTCAGGGTGACTCGATTGCTCTGAAATGGAAATCAGGATATTCTTTATTTCACTCTCCCGGGAGAGAATACATTTCATCTTTATGAAGCTGTTGACATCCAAGCCTTCCTTTCCAATCTAAGCCCGTTTTTTCTGGTGAGATTTCGTCTGGTCCATTTCAAATCACCTTTCCTGAGTTAGAAAAGGTTCGGGTTTTCAAAAACTAAAAACGGAAATACTTCGTATAAACTGAAAGGAACGTTTTTATTGTGGCCGTGCTCAGTGCTCCCCAACCTTTCCGTCTTGGCGGCCCAGCCTGGCGCAGGGAGGAGGGTGTGAGTGTGTGAGTGGTAGGTGCACACATGTACACCCGTCACTTATGCGAATGGCTCTCTGTGTGCGAGCTCAAGCGTTCTCTGCTCACACAAGTCTTCACTCCAGTCCGGTAGTTAGGGGGCACAATATGGCTACCTGATTGGCTGCAAGTGGAGCTTGTGTCTGGAGTCTCCATTCCGATCCACTAGCTAGGGGGTGCAATATGACTACCTGATTGGCTGCAAATGGAGCTTGTGTCTGGAGTCTTTACTCCGATCCGCTAGCTAGGGGGCGCAATACGGTTACCTGATTGGCTGGCCGTCTGGCAGCTGGGAGTATAAAAGAGCTGTCAGATGAAGCTGCCTCAGGTTGCCGTTAGCGCAGGGGGCAGTTAGTTGAATGCCCATTGGCAACCCACTGTTAGAAATAAATCTTGTTAGCCACTGTTATTCTGAGTCGCCTCAGTTCTTCTCCGCCGATTGCAAGATCTCACACTTCGTATGCGCGTGCTTGCCCATCGCTTATGCGGCCCGGTTTGAAAGAGGCTGCGTCCTGGTAGTGAGCCACAGCCCAGGGGTTGGGGATCGCTGCTCTATCTCAAATGTGCAAACAAAAATCTCTGTGGGACCAACTCCATAGATAGTGTGTGCTTTCGAATAATTATAATTCTATTTAATTCAAAAATAATAGTCTTTTTTTTTTATTTTTTACAAAAAGCCCATCCTTAAAAATCCAGTCTAGAAATGGTTGGCCAGCATCAGAATCATTCATAGTTTCATTCCCCATAAAACTTTAATTGAACATCCAGCATAGAAATTATGCAAACGAGTTGAGAAAGTCATTTTCTATCCTAAAAAAAGTGTTTTTAAATGTTTTAGTGCTCCAGTCTTTACTCATCTGGGGCCGGCCCCAAAGCTTTGTCACTTTCCAACAGTTCTCTTAAGATGTTGTAAGTTTAAAACACAACCGTTTTTAGGCTGGTTTACAAAAGTTATCTTGCCCAGAAACTCAGCAAGATTTTCGGCTTGCGGTTATGTTAAAACTGTAATTATTATTATTATTCTTCCCTGACCTTGCTTTTAAAAAGTCTGAGATGGGAAGGTGAGCAGGTGAAAGCTCTCCTAAAAACTATTCATAAGTATATCAACCCTAAATTCTATATCTGCACTCAATTTGTTTTTGCTTTATACAGGTCACCTTCAAGAAGTGAGAGGAGCCGAATGTCAACTCATAAAACATTCCTATGCCTATTTTAGTAACTGATATAAAAAAGGAGGGGGAAGGAAATCTGCAGCAATTTGAAAGCGAAAGTACATTCCAGCTCTTATCTTTAAAAGACTGTAACTAAAATACCAGAGCTTTTGCCCGTGAATATGTTTAATTGGAGAATGCAAATGATGACACACAGCTCGTGAATACGCTCAATTGGAGAATCTGGTTTATGAGACACTGGGGGGGAGGGGGAACAGAGTCACAGGTGACTGTAAATTATGAATGCCAGAATTGGCTTCATACAGAGCAGTACCAGTACATTGCTTCTGATAGATTCTTTGAAGTTTTTTGAAGTTTGGCTGGAGAATCATGATTTAATTAGAGTGATTGCTGGAATCCTGATATACCGCCTTTGAGCCATTTTGGATGGTGGTAGATGATTGTTTATTTTTGAAATCTCGGGGAATCGACTATGGAAAAATCCATATTAGATTGTTTATCACTTGTAGTAAGAAAATTTGCCCTTGTGAGCTAGAGATCAGATGTCACCATTTCTCTATTCTTATGAACGCTCAAGATTTTTTAAAAAAATCCTAAAACCTAGAATTCTAGCCTAAAGATGAGTACTTTAAATTTTCAACTTACTTTTGTATCCAAGACAGACATGATCTTTTCCTTAGCTTCTTTAACATTCTCCCTTTTTCCAGAGACTTTAATGTGAGGATCTTAAAAGGAAAAAAAATAATTATTTTGTACAAATAGCTTAAAGAGTTGTTCAATCTTTCTAATACATCCTGCCTTCTGCTTTTCATACATATTCTATTAGGTAGGTTATACAACCAACGGCACAAGAGGTACATTGTGTATTTCCTGGAGAAACCCTTAAAGCTGTTGCAGCTTCATCGTGAATTAATTTATGACAGACACATTAACTTCCCAAGGTTTGAGATGGACTAGAGAACCTGTCGCTCCATTAAAATAAAAAAATCCATTTTAGTGAAAACAGGTTCCAGGCTATATATTAACCCTGCTGGAATGTAATACAACTTACTGCTGAACATACCAAGTTCTCCATGCAATCCCACAAATGTGAAGCTTGTTTTCTTTCACCAGAGTAAATGCCCAGTCAGTTTTCAAGTAGCTATCATCAGTATCATCACCCTCATTGCCTACATGGACAAATCCATGCACTTCTCTTAGCATCACTTTCTGACATTGCTTGCCTTTGCCTTCTCCTTCCTAGGGCTGAGAGTGTGTGACCAGCCCAAGGTCACCCAGCTGGCTTGATGCTGTTGTGGTTTGCCGGCAGTAGGTGTGGACGGCTGAGGTCTCGGAGAGCGAGGACTCAGATGAGGGGCCTGCGTGTGAGGTAGGGATGGGGCCAGGACCATTAGGGAGAGGAATGCTGCCTTCGGAGATTGTGGAGGCTGGCAGCTGTGATGAAGAGGTCCCCGAGGAGCCTGTGCCCAGTGTGCATGCACGCAGGCTGCTCAAAGGAAAGAGCAGCTGCAGCAGCATGGGCAACTCTGGAGTAAGGCTGCAAGGTAATGGCCCCTCCCTTAAGAGAGAAAAGCCAGCTGAGAAACCGGAGTTCTTTGCAGGAAGCAAAGAAATTTTTGCACTGAAGCCTTGTGAACATTCGGAATATCTTGGTTGGTGTTTGGAGACTCTTTGTGTTTAAATCTTTGTTAGTAGCTTTATCTAGTGTTCTTGGCAGCCTTGCACCACCTTGGCGAGGCTCATTCTTATCAGAGACAATTAGTTTGAAACAGCCTTTTAACCGTGAAGGAACGGGATTCATAAAGAATCATTAAAAGGTTTTTCTGTTACCTCTGTTTCGTGTTTGTTTCTTTGGAACAAAGTTTGGGTCAGAACAGATGCTTAAGTGGTACTACAACTCCACATCTCCTGATTTCTAGCCAGGTGCCTTTAGTAACTGCACCAAATTGACTTTCAATAATTCTCAGATTTATTCGTCCCCATATTTATGAACAGCCTAGCCTGCCTGTCCGCATGTAATGCTTCTGCCAGGAAAATAAGTCTGACTGGGCATTTTATAAGGAACTCTTGAAAAATATTTCTCTTTGCCAAATGCCAAAGATGGAAAGAAAGTCCTCAATTTGCAACAGTTCATTTAGTGACTGTTCAAAGTTACAATGGCACTGGGGAAAAGTGACAGGACCATTTTTCACCCTTGCAACCGTTGCGGCATCATTTTGGCCAGGTGATCAAAATTTGGATGTTTGGCAACTGACTCCTATTTATGATGGTTGCAATGTCCTAGAGTCCTTGTCAGGTGGTGCTCCATTCAAAATCCAAGAAAGACATGCTTAGACTCCATTAATATAGAGAAAAGATCTTTTACTGGAAATCAAGTGGTAGCATCAAAAGAATTCTGGATCTGAGGATTTACGTGCGAAAAACCTATATACAAAGTGATGGCAACGTTCCCACCCACCATAGTTCAAACGGTCCATCCAATCTGAGATGTGTATAATGTCATGTGGAATATCTTCAGGTGGTGATGCAGGCATCTGGCCATTGACCTTGGCCTGGTTTGATAAAGAGCTGCAACTGCGCAGTAAGCAAGCAAGCATAAACAATAAAGGTTTTCCCCAAGTTATACAGTTTATTTTCTAAAACCTCCAGCATATTTCCCACACTCACAAAGCCCACCCTCCCCCCGTTACTATGGCAGCCGAAAGATGCAAAAGAAAGGAAAGGAATCTTGAAGGCTGAGAGTCCTGGGGAAGTGAGATTCCCTTAACAGCCGTGTTACTAATGTAGCAACCGAAGTGATTCACTTAAGAACGGTGACAAGAAAGTTTGTAAAACAGGGCAAAATTCATTTAACACATATCTCGCTTAGCAACATACATTTTGGGGCTCAATTGCAGTCGTAAGTCCAGGACTACCTGAACCCGTGATGCTACAGAAGGGATGCCAGATCAGTGCTATTACTGTTGAAATGTTTTCTAAAAATGAAAAGGTGAGGCAGTGTGTTTCTACAGACTTAATTTTAAGGATTGGGTTAAAAAGTTATAATAATCTGATATGGGATATGCTGAATGAGGGGTGCCCTTTGGTTCACCTTACTGAGTCAAAAGTCCGCCTTTTTTTTAGAAATAAAGTTCAACTTTGCTTGTAATCACGGTAAAGGCAAAAATCCGTCTATGGGAATTTTTTTTCCTGATCAGGTCCATACGGATGCAGGAACTTAGTAAGAGTAAACTTTCCTCAACTGAGTTCATCTCTTAGATGCCAGCTCAGTCAGGGACTTGCGTTCTCTTCCAGCGAGCAACCCTGCCTTCTTTTTTTGTAATCTTAATGAGTACATCTTGCTTGGCATGGTTTTAAGACTTTCTTTGCACTGACTGCTTAGTGACACAACAAACAATGTCACCCACACTGAAGTCCTGCTGAATAGAGTCATGGGATTGAAGAGCTCGAGTAGTTTATCTTCTTATGGCCTGGTTTTTGTCTCGCTCTGTGGATGTGGCACTGACATCTTTCGCAACTAGAAACCAAGGAAGGGCAGAGCACCATCTGCTGTTGTTACACATCGTCAGCAAGTAACTGGATGATTTCTCTACAGCCAGCTCCCCTGTGGAAGGAGGACAGCTTTGCACCCACAGGGCCACTGATGCACTGCATTTTGACACACGGTATTGTTGCAACAGACTGGAGTCTCTTTTGCTAGGCAGGATCTCAAGAGCTTTACAACAGGAACATATGAAAGCTAACTTCTTTTTCTTTTGAAATATTTTTTTATTGCTTTATGTCATACATTTCCTTTCTATGTTGAGCAGTGTGGTCTCTAGTTGTCCAAGGTGTTAATATTCTGTCCTAGGCCTCCCCCAAAAGTACTAAGTCAATTCTGGGTCCCAGCAAAAAGCTCTTTTATTACATTAATGTGAATTTATTTCATTCACAGTCAGCCAACGGCTTGGCAAACAGTCTCGCAAAGGTACACTAATTAGCTCAGACTTTTATCAATCCTGGAATGCTGCCTGGTAAATTGTTCCACACTCACTGCTCGCAAGGAAGGCCTGGGTTATACAGACAAATCTCCACGAGGCTGGAATGAACAAACTAACGAACGAGCAAGTTGTTTCCTGCAAAAGCTCTTCCCCTTTTGCTTCTCTTTTAATCCTGATGGGAGGAGCCATTCATCGTCCACCTGTGGCCACTCAGGGGTGGGATTCAATTTTTTTAAACAACCGGTTCTGTGGGCGTGGCTTAGTTGGTGGGTGTGGCTTGCTGGTCATGTAACTGGGTGGGCATGGCCAACTCGACGTCACTCACATCAAGGGGCGCTTCTCCTTGCCTGGCCTCTCATGACTGTGGGGATGCTGCATCAGTCGTAAGTGTGAAAAATGGTCATAAGTCACTTTTTTCAGTGCCATTATAACTTTGAATGGTCACCAGTTTTAGACCAAAACTCAGAAAGGGTGTGTAAACTCATGTTCGAATGTCAATCTTTGTAGCTAGCCAAGAAGCCTTGCTGAATGTCCCTCATCTTGGTTCCTTGTCTTTAAAAGCTTCTTTCTGGCAGCTCTGCTTCATTATTCAATTATTTCTTCAAAGTGCTAACTCCAACAGGGGAGTATATCCTCCCAACAGCAGTGTAAAGAGCTTAAAACAACCCTTCCCCTTTAAGAAAGTACCAGCAAAGAAAAAAAAACCACCTCCTTTGGAGACAGTAAGTCTAGGCATACTGCCAAGAATGCAACAAGGGTGGAAAAAAACAAAAGATTTCTTCCAACAACGGATTCTCCAAACTGCTTAGAAAGTTAACAACCGGTTCTAGTGAATAGGTGAGAACCTGTAGAATCTCACCCCTGCTTTTACTCCCACGTTGACGCTGAGTTCTTAATTGTTCCTTCCTTTTGGCAGCTTTGCACATGCACAGGTTGGGAACCGGTTCCAGAAGCTCTCCTGCCTCACTGCTGTCCGAGCCCGAAGGCAGCTGTTGACTGCCAGCCTGCCCTGGCCCCATCTCTGCCTCTGATGCAGAGCCCTTGTCCGAGCCTTCCTCAGCCTCCAGGAATGGCCCAGGTTCCTCCCCAACCTCCTCACTACTGTCCAACTCTGCTGCCAGCCCCGCCAGCCGCTGCTGGGCCACAACAGTTAACATACAAACATCACTGTTGTCATTATGATCATATTCATATATTCATATATTCATATTCATATTCATATTCATATAT